TGAACCGATTCAACATTGATCTAGAGGGTCCAATCGGACTAGGGTGGGCTAGAGTTGCTACCAAAGGGAGGGGCCTCCGCCGAGCTATCTACTAATACAAATATGTTCTTTTTGTTGAATAGGGTAAGCTTTTACTGAGTTTTCCATCAGAAAAATCGTTGATATCCCTCTTCTCCCTTTTAGGGTTGTATCCGATGACAGGTGGTGCCCCGGTTGTATCATGCTTCAAAGTGATTGTTAACTCCTTGCATTTTCCTCCCCTTTCTCTTTCAACCTGCTTGCTGTCGCTTTACAAACCCGACCCCCCATGCCACTGTCACCTTCTTGCATTGTTCCAGTGCAAGTTGTCATCCCTACTGCAGTGTGCAAGTGTTTTTGCCACTCATCCTGCTCGCTTCCTTGCTTCCACCTCACTTCCCTCGCCCTAACCTCACAGCCAACCTCTCCCCGCTCCTTATCAGTGTCACCATTACCCTTCTTGCATCATTCTAGTCGGTCGCGGCATCTCCCAAACCACCTCTTCGTTGTACCAACAGCTACTATGCCTCCGCCCTAGTAGAATATTTGTGTTTGTTGTGTTTTCTTCCCTGTTTTGAGTTCTGATTGTAACATCTATTGCTTTTGCATAATAAAATATAATTTATATCAGATTTGGGATAATTTTGGTATCACATAGTCCCTTCAACAGGGCTTGGAAGCAATCATCAAATCCACAAATGTCATACTCTCCACTAATTCTATGTCTACAATAATAAAAATGAGAAATTTACGTACCTAGCAAACAATTCTTATGTAATTACAAATCTCACACCTAAACTTTCATATTTACATACATAGTATTTTGGTGTTAAACCAATACATTAAAAGGTGTATTTCACTTTAAAAAATAGTAATAGTGCTATTATTCTGATATTAAATATTTGAGTGCTATGTGTTTAAAACCAGAAGTTCGGGTGTAAGATATGTAAAAACACTAGAATTAAGTGCTTTGTATATAAATGCTTCAAATAAAAATGGTACTGGGCGAGCAAAAATGACTTGCCCCAAATATCTGAATTTCTTAATTCCATCTGATTATTCACCTTTTTTTTAATATAAAAATAAATGTTTATGTCGAGGTGTTTTCAAGAGTTTTTGTTTGAGCGCAGATGTGTCAATTGTGGGTAGGCGGGTTCTGAGGGTTAGGGTTTGTGAGGATTTCCCCTGAAGGATATGTGGCAGACTTACACTGCCCAAATAATGCCATCCAGTAACAGCCCTTTGTAAACGTAATAAATGTTAGGGAAAATTACATACATAGCACTATAAACATTGTGATTTACAAATCAGCATCCCAAGTGATTTTCTGAACTTTTGAACCAATGCATTTATGCATGCCACGATCAAACCATTGGGAATTTTTTGATAAAATGATATCTATGAGTTGGGGTTTTATCATGAATTTGGAAATTTTGAGTAATCATTTGAAATATGGATGAAAGAGGGTGCTAATTTTGTAAATAATAATGTTTCGAGCTATGTATGTAATTGCATACTTACTAGGCTTTTATCATCACAGTTAGCCTTACCTCAACATACTGGCGTACCACTATGTTTTCTGCTTGATAAACTATAAATGTAGTTTTGGTACAAAAGTACTGACCTAGTGTAAAGAAACAAACGATTTATGTCAGCTTCAAATTGAAGATGCCTTGGATCTCGAGCAAACTTTGGGCTCTTAGCTAGAGTAATGGCTACCTATTAATGCAGTAAAAAATAAAAGAAATTAATAAGAAATATATCAAATAGAAAACATAATAACTTTAAACTAATCTAGGGCAAGAAATTCATAATTATCCATTAGGATATTTTCATTTCAAACTGATAAAAGCAAAACAACGCTAAATAAATATTATAATATCATAAATCCTCATTCTTCATTCATTTCTACCACATGTTACATGAAGTTTAATCCTATTCCATGCAAATCCATTCGCGCAAATTCTATTCATGTTACCTTTGGTCTACCACATTTTTCTATTAATCCACTGATGCTAATTTTCTCTATCCATTTTATTAGTGTTCTATCATTAATTGTGCATATCAAAACCATTTACATCTACTTTCACTTATCTTCAATAGATGCTACTCGGACTAACCCTTTAAGTTAATTATTTCTTAATCTACCCTCCTTCGTTTTGTAACACATTCATTTTTAAGTTTTCACGTTGCCCTAATCTGTTCTTCTTTTGTTTTATCATTTGCTGGCTTCCGCAGTTGATTGTTTGCCATCACTCGTAGGATCATATGATAGTTGTATGCTCACATATTTGTTTAATTGAACATCCAATTCTCGATCAAAAACATTTATCTCATTAACGTAGTTTACTCCATGCTCGACTATAAAATCATCAATAGCCAATTTGATAAAGAAAATTTTGTTTGGACTCCAGATGTAGCACTATATGCGAACTCCAATAATATGCCGCCACGTGTGCTACACGTAGGTTATTTCGGGGTTATTGAAGTAGAACCGCGAAAGGTTATTTTTAGGTTATTGAAGAAGAACTCGTATCTTCCACTTCAATAACCCAAAAATAATTTCTGCGGTTCCACATCAATGACCTCGAAATAACACCGCGGAGGTTATTTCTAGGTTATTTCTGAATTATTTCTGAGTTATTAAAGAGAAACCATATATTGCAATTCAATAACCCCGAAATAACTCATAAATATCTTAGAAATATCATACACGGTGTTATTTCTGAGTTATTGAATAGAACCCACCGCGGAAATTATTCTGGAGTTATTTCTGGGTTATTGCAGAGTCTGCAGTTCCACTTTAATATTTTTTAGGTTGGCCCGATATAAGAAGCAAGACGATAAATTACTGGGATTCTGCACGTAGAGCTACGTTTGGAGTCCGGACAGAAAATTTTTCGCATATTGATATCGTCTTCTTCAATGAGATATGCAAAAATAAATTGCCCGAAAGAAGTGGCTCCAATGTCAATTGTTGTTGTATATGTGGAAATCATTTCTTTAAAATCAAATTATTTTATGTTCTTCTATAAAAATCAATCATAGTTAAATTTTAATGCAAGATCAACTACTTAAAAAATAATTAATACAATAATACATCAAAATGATCTTTTCATATATCCTTAGTTGCAATTGTGATATCCAAATTCTCATCCCAACCCCATTTATTAACAAATATAACACCCTAAAGTCGCTCTTCATATTTTTAAAGAGTCATCGATGCTACCTAAATTTATGTGGTACCTAACTATTTGTTAATGTCTGGACTACAAAAACCTATTATCCTAACTCAATCTATCATTTGACATATTTTCACATTGAAATTATTCCAAAAACAACTCCACAAGGACAACATTATGTCCATTTGAAAATTTGGATGTTCTAGTTGCATTTTTTGTTTGTATGATGAGAATGAAGATATTTTAATGACATGACTTTGAGTTGGAACTGTAGCGTTGCACCATCTTCTTTTTAGAAATTTCTTCATGATCGCAAGAGAATCAACGATGACAAAGTTAATCTCATAGGACAATAAGAAATATATCCACTTAAAAATAATGAGTTAATGGAGAAGTAATAAAATATTATTTTATATTTTTCCTTAAATGAGATGCATATTTGATCAACGATTTATTTCTGCTCAATATCTATTATTTTATAATCAATTGTATTATTATGTTTTCAATAGTAGAGTAATTATCAATGCACATAACTTCTTCAGATTTAATCATATTTAATTAGGTCAATTTTAAAATTTTATAAATCTAAGTTTATATACATATAGATATTATTTTATACGATATACTAAAAAAAGTAGTAATTAATTTAATTGATATATATATATATATATGGTGAAAGTCTCTCGGTCGAGGATTCGATCCCTGCGTAGGTTTGAATTGCACACCTTTATGGAAGAGGGGTACACCCCTCGATGAGACTATGGGATTAATCGGCGAACAACCTTTTTTAAATATATAATATATAGGATTACAAAAATTTACTCACTTCAAAAATAAAATTTAATTTTTAAGAACATTTGAAAACTGAATTAATGAACCAAATTAAAGAGTAAGAAAATAAATAAATGTATAAATTCATCCATGCCACATTTTTTTTTATTATAGATCTCGTAAGCCAAAGCTACACATACACCAACGTTCCTATGACATGTAAACTTGCAGAACTTATAGAAGAAGTATAAATGTCTCTTCCTCCAGGCTTTAACTTTACAGCCTCCAAAGGATAAGTGCGCAGACTGCGAAAGTAACTCTATGTGCTAAAGCAGTCCCCAAAGGTCTAGTTCAGCAAGTTCACAAAGGTGCTCAAGGGTCATGGTTTTACTCGGGCTCAATAAGGTCGCATTCTCTTCTTCTGGCATTCCTTAATAGCCAGATAGCTATCTTTATTGTTTATGTTAATAATATTATTCTTACAGGTAACGATCTCCCAGTACTAGAGTCCTTGAAAGACATTCTTGCTAAATCCTTTGACATGAATGGCTTGGGATCTCTCTAGTATTTCTTAGGCATGGAAATGGCTCGATCATCTCGGGCGTTTGCTTATCTCAACGTAAATGTGTGATTGATCTTTTGCCAGGGAACAACATTCTTCTATGCAAATCAATGACTGTCCCTATGGGTCCCAATGAAAATTATCTGGCATTCCCAATGTTGTGTCTTTCAACAAATCTCACTACCAGCGCCTTGTGAGGAAACTCATATAACCCGTCCAAACTCGCCCTGACATATGTCACATAATTGGTATAATGAGTTAATTCATGCATGATCCTATGAACACCATCTCCAAGTTGTCCATCGGATTATCCACTACTTAAAAGGCACACTAGACTCAAGTTTACTTCTATCTCATCACACATCTCGGTCTTTGTTGTTTATATAGATATGGATTGGGTCAGGTTGTTTCATGATCGATGTTTCATCTCAGGATATTACTCATTTGTATAAGAAAATATTGTCACATGAAAAAGCAATAAAACAGTCTGCGGTTGCTCAAAGCATTGTTGAAGCTAAATTCTGGTCCTGTCCTTAATGATTTATGAAGTCCTCTGGTTACGCATCATGCTCCGTGAACTTCATATACCAACCTCCGTCCTGCTGCAGCTATTTTGTGATAATAAAGTTGTCATCGGCATTGCTCGCGGTCTAGTCCAGCATGATCGTACCGAACATGTGGAGATTGGCAAACAGTTCATTAAGCAAAAGATTGAGCTCGGGAAAATTTGTGTTCCTTTTGTGTCATCCAGCGATCAACTAACGAATATCCTCACCAAGAATCTTTCCAGTACATAGTTTGATGACTTCATATCCAAGTTGAACATAATTAATATCTGAGCTTCAACTTGAGGGAGAGTATTAAATTTATAACAACAATCAAATCTCTAGTCGTTATTATCATTATTTCTTTCTTATTAGTTTTTATTTACTCATTATATATTTTCTATTTGCTTTATTTTGTTTTTATTTATTTTCTTTGTTGTGTCAATTGTAATTGGGATTAAATGCCCTTCCTTCTATCAATGAAATTATATTGCTTCATGCCAAATCTCAACACTTTTATATCGAGGCAAAATTTTATCTTCTCTGGCTCTATCAGGTCAGATCTTTCATGTTACCTTTTAAAATACTCATTTATATTGACATTTATATATTTTATTATTGATGACTACATTAAATTTATAATTTGAGACACAGAAGATAAGCTTTCAAAGTATGGGGATTAAGGTTTTTTAATTATAACCTGGTAGAAAAAAAAATAAAGATATTTCAAGTTATGTAATAGCTCCTAATTATTGTTCCATTCTTTTGACCAGATTTTGATAGCAATGCCAAGTTTTGAAATTCAACTTATTTTGCTTCCTTATTCCAGAACAAGTGATATACTCATCAAAAGCAATTGGTGTTGCAAACAAGTAGTGTTGTTTATTAGTATTCTTATGCTTGTATTTGAATAATTTATTATAGATTATACAGTTTTTGTTATTAGTAAGTGTTATCATGTTAGATCTAACATGTATGCGGATTAACTGTGTGCAATGAGCATCTACCTTCAGACTTAAATCATTCTAAGAGCATTTCTTTTTTATACATGTTATCTATTTGAAATATCTCATTAAATTTATTCTACTTTTATTTTTCTGTTTGCAGTTCTTGAAATATCATTATTTAATGCTCTTCCTGTACAACTTATTTGATATATTATAAGTAACAATATGATGCACATTTTTTGTTGAATTTGCATATTCACATCTTTTGTTTTTTCACTGATGATTCAACACAAGATGCTTAGAAGTGGAAGAGTTGCAAGCAACTTTAAAATAACATAGAATTTGTTATCATAAACACTTGACATTTAGATCCTATTTAAACCAACGTGCTTATACCTTGAAATAAGTTATCAAACAATTTAAACAGGTTTGATTTAAATTAACATCAACTATGTCAAACAGTTTTCAAGATTTAACAGCATCAAGATTTAATAAATTCAGATTTACCAGATTTAATAAATCCTAATTAAGTTAAATCTTACTTGCAGCCAAACAGCCCCTAAGAGTAACTCCCATTTTCCATATCAAGAAGCCCAGTTATCCTCACGAGTTACGATGACAGCCTACAGTTCTAGATATGTTGTGGGGGGCAAAGCATAGCTGACAAAATCTTAGGCCAAAGCTCAAAATTATCAAAATTTCTCTGAATCTTTTGTCTTTTATTCAAAGACAAAATACTCTAGCGTGCAATCTTTAGTATTCTTTAGTCCAAAATCTACCAACGAGATCAAAATCACTCGTAAAGTGCAGTCGAAAATGAATTTTATCCAGAAAAAAAAAACATGCATTAATGTTGAAATTTCTTCAAATAAGTTGGCCCGAATACAAGGGATTCAACACAGATTGACCAGAAAATTACACAGCTGAAATCAATTCATATCAAACAAAGAAGTCTAGAAATGTTGGTTAGGCTTCTTTCGGATAGATCCAATATGCACGCTAGAACCAAATAAAATTTTGGTCCCTTCGATAAATTGTGCAAAAATCAAACCCTAGAGCACCACATCTACGATGAGGAGAAAGAGGAGGAGAGAATATAGCTACCTCCTGGAACTTTCGGATGAGGAAGGCCATCCCGGGGTTTCTACTCCGTTGATTTTATCTCCTGTAGCTCAGCGGGTCGTGTAAATGCCGAAGATAAACTAAACCCTAAAACCCGAAATTTGGCTCCCTTTCACACCCGATCATATTTATTTAAATTAATAAATAAATTTTTAAAAAATATTTTTTTAAAACTATATTAGTAAATAAAAAAATTATATTTTTTAAAACTCGAAAATTTAACCAAATTTAAATATAGTTAAACTCATTTATTGATATTCACAAAAAATTTATTTATTATTCATTAAATAATTTATTAAATAATTTATTAAATACTTTATACTTATATAATATTTTATTTAAATAAAATTTAACTCACGATAAATTACTTCATATTATATTAAATACTAAATGATTTTAATATAATATCAGCATGAAATTACGCAGCTAAAAACTTCTTCAAATCGGGGTCAACTTTTTTCAAAAAAATATTCAAACAATTTTAAATTTTTTTATGAATTTATTAATATAATAAAATAAAAAACTTGATAATAAAAAAAATTAAATTTATAAAATTTGATCATTTATGTGGGGTTATATTTTTAATTATTAAAAAATCAAATAAAATAATCACACTTCAATGAACCCAATATTCAAATAAAAGTTTTATTTATTGACATATTTGTTTAATAAAATTATAAAATAAAATATGCATGAAACTTTTATTTTTAAGAAAATATTATTCAATTATTAAGATTAAAACTTTTTTTTAAAATGTGTCGATCATGTTGGGCTATTTAAAAATATGATTATTGATGCGTGCCAGAAAATTCGTGATGGTTGAGTAACAGATTATCTTCTTAGTGTTGTACGAAAGTACAGCACACACACACAGATGAAAGAGAAACAAGCGGTGATGACTCCAAAAGTTTTTACGTGAAAATCTCGTAAAGGGAAAAACCACGGGATCTGCCCTAGTTGCGAAAATTCACTATTAATTGATGTTTACAAAAATTCATTATCCCTCATATGAGAAAATGTAACTATATTTTTCATATTACAACGATAACTGACAACGTCTAGTTGGTGATAATCGATGACGATTAGCAGAGGTCGTCGACGGTCGGCGATGGTCTTCGACGGTCGGCAGTGGTCGACGACGGAGGTCGGCGGTGGTCGGTGGTCGACGACGATCAACTGTGATGCTGAACTGCAGCTTCTGCTCAAGGTCTCACGCTCCCTCTCCTGATTTTTGCCCCCACTCATGAGAGGGATGCGGATCATGAGAGGGATGGGGATCCATTTATAATGTTATGGGTACAATTAATGCAGGAATATGAATCATTTTGATCGGAAGGGAAGATCCGGAGAGCTTCCATCAATCATACGGCGTATAATGAACATTTGATTGTCTTAATGATGTTAGAATTGAGTGATCTTAAGTTGGTTGGATTCGTCTTGTCAAGCCGATCGATTCGAGTATAAACTTGTCATATTCATGTCATATTCGACAACCGTTTGACCTTGCAAATACGTCCGAAAATCGTCTAAGTGTGGTTCAATGACTTGATCTGGGCTTAATTTGACTTGAATTGGACTAGTTTTCATATTATTAGACCCGTCTCATCAAGCCGGTCAGTTTGACTATAAGTTTGTTGAAATCAGAACTCTGCAGAGCTCTGAATGACTTCTTATCAAGATTTGAATGTTTTATGTTTCAAATATTATCTCGAGATTCGTGTCGGATCATGAAAATTTGTTGGTGACGTATCAAATATGATGTTATAAAACATGCATGAACAAAATGGGTCTAAATATCTAATTCAGTTTAGATTTAAATTTTTATGATTTTTTTTAAAATAAATAAATATATGAAGATTCAATTAAAAATTAGGCTATGGATAAATCAAACATAAGTATTGTCTGATTTATTATAAATTAATAAAAAAATATACAGGTCTTAATAACCATTAAACCGGAGGATAAAAACTCAAACAACGATGAAATATAATTAAAATATAGAAAGTAATGTAATTTTGTTTTGTTATGAAAAATGAGTTTCAGTGTGATATAATAATTAGTTGTTTCATAAAATATTATTCAAATATAAAATGAATATTATATTAAGTTTAAAGATAAAACTATATTAAGAGCTCCTAGCATGTTCTTTGATAGACAAATGTCTTTGGTTTGATTAAGATGGGTCTCTTTTGCACGTATTATTTTAGATTATTCGCTTTTTAAAGGCTAAATTCTTTTTTTTTTTTCCCGAAAGTCCGAGTAGGAGAGAGAAAGTAGACGCTCCTCCCCCAAATCCACTCGTGTCAACATGTATACAAATCTAACATATGGGACGGATGTTGCTTTTTGAAGAAGCTGTGGGGTTGTTTCTCAACTGCTATCAGAAAACCGTTGCTGACTTAGGGTCCGTTTGGGGGCAGTTTATAAGTGCGGGGGGCGTTTTGAAAAACGCCGTCGTACTGTTTGGTTCGCGCGTTCCACCAGCTTATCTGAAACTGTGTTTGGGTTTTTATACTAAACGCAGGCCGCGGGTAGACCCCTGCAGTCGGCCCGCGGGCCGCGTTTCAGGATAAGCAGCTTATCCAGAAACGCACAAGCTGCCCCAAACAGACCCTTAGTCTGTATAATAATTGGATAGTTTTATGTATTGTAATTATTTTTTTATCAAAATAATAATAACTATGCTCTTATAGATGTAAATTAGTTAAATGACTGCGATCTTAAAAATAATTGTTGGTGAATAATAGAAACGTATTCAATAATTTATAGTCCAATCTTTCTTATACATCAATTAAGGCTTAAATTCATTTTTTTTAGAAGTCCAAGTAGGAGAGAGAAAGTGTACTCTCCTATATTAATTTTAAAAAAATGAAATATATATTTTCATGCTTAAGCAAAGTTACATATATGTAAATATATATAATTTAAAAAACTCTCCAATCAAAAATCAAATTCATTATCATCGAATGATGCATGATCTCGAACGAACTGTCTTGTAAATAGAACAATCATGTAAGTCCCACATGACTAGACTAACCATCATTCTCGTAGAGATCATAACAAACAATAACAAGCCTTCACTAAAGTTGTTGGTTCCTCTCACAAGATTTGATCAAGTTATTTGTGGGGTGACTAATTTTGATTAAATTGAATACTTAAAAAATATCATATCAAACATACAACATTATTCGCACTTGAAATAATCTATGCCCACAAGGATGTTACCTAAGTTATCTATTCTCGTGGTATTACCTAACAAAGCCATAGATATAACAATTACGATCAAACCTTTTTGATCAAGTTATTTGGCAATTCAACCCCAATTTATTCTATATTGGTCGCTAAGTTGTGAATCATGAAGAATATTTGACAGGACATTACAAAAAATAAATAAGGTCGACTTAAATTTGCCCCTTCTGGAAATATATACCCAAGGCCTATAAGGTTCATTTGGATGAAAAATACTATAACTACTCACAAAGATATTTTAGTCATGTTGGATTGAATATCTCCTCTAAGTAAGTAAACCATAAATCGACCATGAAAACTAAGGATGACGGGACCACAAAATCATGTCAACATCATTCCTTTCATCATTTTCTCTTGAACTCACACAAGAAATTTTCATTTATCACTCTAAATCTTATTTTGTTACTATTATACACTAATCAACAATTAAAACCCTAACGACTAACGTTAATCAAAACTAATCTCTCGTTATCGACAAGGTAATAACTATCAAAGCTTAAACTCATAAAAAACCTCAAATCTCATATCCAAAGCCCTAACAAAATTAGAGCAAAGTTTTTAGCCAATGTCTTATATTCTATAAAATCATCTAAATTTTATCAAAAAAATACTCTCATCAAAACTGACCAAGGCATGAATCTTCGTAGCCCGACCACACAGAATACAATTGCCATAAGATACTTCATTCGCATGCCGCTCCATCGAAGACCAATTGTCGAGCCACTCTTTTATTTTCCAATGCATTATGTCTTATAAAACATAAGTAGTGATTAACCCATCATTTAATATTGAGTTAGAACTAATCCTTTAGTTAGCTAAGGATACTTGCAATTAACTCTTAATAAATCATGCTTTGCAATCCACTAAATGTCTTAATGGCACGCAACCCACAACTATAACAACTCCTACAAGATTTTAAACCCCTCATCATTTTCTTATAAGTGCTTCTTTGCCCAACATAAATCATAAATAAACTCTTAACGGAATATTTCCCTACTCATGAAAATAACATAATTATATTCTATATTAAAAAATCATAATATATCATCAATAAATACCACCCCAAACCAAACCAATACATCACGTTAAAGGCACAACAACATCATTAATAGAATTAAAAGTACTCTAATTAATATTTATTTTTTTTAAAAAATAATATAAAATTGTATCCTTCTAGAACAAGCCTACTACGTACTAATACCATATGTAAGCACTGCATTAACTAATAAAAATAGACTAATTAAAGCTTAAACTAACCCCATTTGGCAGCACAACCACCTAAACTAACAAAAAAGGCAAGAAATAAAACTTCATAAAAAATTATGTGAAAATTTGCATGCATAACACCCAATTCTTATGTATTTACATATCCATCTCACGAGCAAATATTACATTCGGACTCCGGACGTAATTTGCGTTCAAAGTCTAATGGTGAGGCGCCACACGTGACGTCCTACTATTGAACTCTGGATGCATCCGGAGTCCTGATAAACTTTCATTTTTGCATGCACAACACTTCAGTTTCTTAAGTATAGGAATGAAAATATGTATTAAATTGATAACAAAACTGTCTGTTATGTAATATTAAGGATTCGAGTGTTACACGTGTAAATATGAAAGTTTAAGGGTGAGATATGTAAATACATGAGAGAATTGTGTGCTTATGTGCTTATGTAAAATAAAAGAGAGACTAAAGTTTTTGACTTTATAAATAGAGCTTGTGGGAAAAGCACAAGCAAGGCGAGTTTAGAGAATCTAGCAAACAAAGGGAGGCATGAAACATCATTAATATGCGTGAAACTTGCTTTTTTTTGTTCTAAAAATATTAATTTTTAATTAAGTGTGGTTTAGTTAGACTAGAATTGTTAACCTAGGAGGTTACGTTTGGTCATCCTCCGGTAACCACGTATTATCTCTTTCCCATCTTCTCTATATTTTCTTCTTCTCAACGCCCACAACTAACTCATCCTCCTGACGTCAACTAATAAATAATTATTATCTATTCATTTTTAGTAATATATATATATATATATATAAAGAGCTTA